TCTCAAAATAGGATACTTTACTTTAACTCTTGTTTGTATTCGCTACAGATGTTTTTGGATACAGTATTCGTTAAATATAGGCCGAAATTTTCAGTAAAATTAGAGGTCTATAAACGTATGGAGGATAGATATGAAGGTGAAGATAGTTATACGTTGATACATGGTATTAAAACACACACTGTTATCGTTAATTCCTTGGTACGTTATTCATTCTGTAGCGCGTTCGCTGATAAATCGGGATGCAACTGTCACTTCCCGGCTTCTGGCTGGGACCGCGTCGCTCACCACCGAGTGCTACAAGTTTTTCCTTCTACCAGTCAAGCATCGCGTTATAAAACAATAAAATCAACTTAGGTGTTTTATAGCAGTTTCTGCCAGGATTCGAAGAGTGACGCGTTTCGGTTTATCAGTGAACATGTTGTATATGGTCTATCCATGCTTATGTATACATACGGCTTAATATGCAGCATTTGTAATGCCAAAAAGACCACGCGACGTTACAGCCCAGAAGACTACTGTCGGCCCCTTTCCAACAACTGACGTTTTGTTACAATTTGTAATGAATTTACAGACTCTCGCTTTGAGATTTATACGGAATTTTGTTCTTTGTGAGCGATACTTTGTCTTCAGTTTTGGTTGGCGATTTAGGGTTTTCGTTTCGTTTATGTGTTAGGGAGTTGGTAGACTCCTTGGATGAAGAATAGGCCCATCACGAGGCCAATGCCTATATGCGCCCGTCTCTATGCTCTTGCTTGACAGTCTGGACCCGGCGTAGTGACAGACATCCCGAGAGAGGTTGGAAGGGTGCCATATCCCTTGAGCACCCAGAGCCACGCTCTGTTCCATCAGTGCCCCAGGTCTCAGGGACGCATAGTCACCATGGCAACATTAAAGCAGCGCCACTGGTGGGCTGCAACAGCTCTGTTTGTAAAGCTTCTGGTAGTTACTGAGACTACATGGTGTGGGCCACTGTTATTCATTATCCAGCACACTGACATTGCAGTGTTTGGACTTGGCTTCGATATTATGTTGTGTTAGGTTAGGTTATTTAACGTTGTGGTTTTAGAGTGGCTTCTGCTGTGTTCTGCAGAATTCATGGGTTGGACGTGGGGATGTCCTGAATAATTTCTGGAGATTGCTGGAAAAATTCTGGAGAATTTCTGGAGAAATCCTAGAGAAGTGTTGGAAAATTATCTTGCAAATTCTGTTGACGTCTTTGAGAAGAGTTGGAGAAGTTCTGGAACGGTTTTTTGGAAGTCCTTAAGCGGCGATGAGTTTGATCGTATGCGGTTCTGTTAGTTTCCGTTACGTTGGAATAATTTATATTTCATTGGATTAGGTTGCGTTGTTTTGGGTTAGGTTAGGTTAGGTGAGGTTGTGTTAGGCTATGTTAGTTATAGTTGTGGTTTTAGAGTGGGTTCAGTTGTGTTGTGCATAATTCCTAATGTTGTATTCTGTTATTATAAAACATTACCCCCAAAGTTACATGTTTTTAAGACATAATTGTTATCGTGCAGAGGTTAATGGCTCTTTATCGGCTAGTTACTTGTACTGTTGTCACCCCACATCGTACGGCCATCACACGCGGCTGTGAGTCAATGAAGTGAGGACAGCTTCAAGAAAAGTGGGTAACGTGACTAGGAAACTAAAGCAGAGATGAGGTTTTACCCTACTCTACTTGATTCTCAGTACGAGATGCACATCCCTGTTTTATTGTGGCTTCCAGGAAACTGGACGTCAAGAGAGAGTCCAGTGGGGAATCTCTTAATCGGCTGACTCTACACAATAATACATACATACAATATGCATGCATACCCACGTGTATTACGTGATAGTGGAGTGGTGTGTTCCAATTTGGAACATCGATCTGTATCTACGACACTACTCGGTGCTACATCCCAGAAAACAGGCATCTTTATGCTTCTCGTTCTTTATGCAAGGTTAAGTTGGCATTAGTTATGCCACATTATGTTCTAAACATTTTTACAACGAGTCCGATTTGCAAGACAGGTACGATGACAAAGCAACTGTGAAGACTGGCAGAATCAGAGTAAGAAGACGAAGTTACTAAATTATTTGTGAGACTTCCTAGCTCACGCACGACATGTCTGCCTGTACGTAGTCTTCAGGCTTAATATTTTACAACAGCTGTCATGTTGCTTAATCCACACATTTCAACGAGTCGCAATATATGACATCTCTGTGATGATATGGGAATGCATGATGATGAAAGTACATCACACTCATAGGCCGAAGTTACTTTTCGGGACGATGATATTGTCGTAATACAGAGTGACTATGAGTGATGCTTTCATTTTTACATATGTATTGAAAAAAGTAAGCTACTCACAGTAAAGAAATTTGTAGGACTTATGTCCTTTGTAGCGCGCCTGCCGATGGGAACTACAAAGGACCAGATTTGTTACGCAGCAGCCCTGAGGGTGAGATCAGAGATTCCTCTCGAAACCATACAGTATATAAGGTCATGGTAAATTCGAGGCGGAGGGAAACCCACATTTTAACACAGGAACAAGTTTCAAATGGGGGATAAAAAAGGGCCGGTAGAGGTTCTGGTGAATGAGACGGGAAATTGCTTGGCTGCGCTGCGCAGTTAGGATAATGACTGTTGTTGTCACTAGTGCTCAGCCGAGCAGCCTACACTGCAGGGGCGGATGAATCTGCATCTTCAGCTAGTATGAACACCAGACATAAAGCTGCAACAGAGAATAGTACAAAGAAATTTTTTTGCGTTGGAACTTTTTTTCTTGAAACACATGATTCGAAAGCACACGGTCTTGAGGCCGAGTAAGTTGGCTGAAACTTTGACGTGTATTCAGAAGCTGAATTCCATGGAGCAGTTTTGCTTGAGAAGCTAAGAATCGCTTAGCTAGTTAACAAATTCCACGTTTTTTTAGAGTCCGAAGGTTCGCTTCCTATCTTGAAACAAATGAATCCAATTTCACATTCTTACACAGTCTACTTTTGTGAGATTCAGTTTAATATTATCCTGTATTATATTATCTGTTGTAAGTGGTCACTTTCATTCAGATTGACCGAGTACCTTTTGACATTCGAAAGATGAAATGTGAGCTTTTATGTATTTACTTCAGTCCCTCCTGGGCATTGTCATGACGGTGCCATACAAAGTAACGATTGTATCCTTACCGATTATTTCCCGAGGTTTTCGATTGTTTAACCATTGTAGGCACATGGTTAGGTGTTATTTTGAGAAGAGTTTGAACCACCATACATAATTGTCTCATATCTCAACCTTTGTGCCTCTGAATAGCTTCATTTCGTAATCAAACGCCTTGAAGTCCGTATACATGCGAAACCACGACCCAAGAAACATTTTGTTATCACATTATGATAATGAAATTCCCAATGAGTTTCCAGCTGTGCTGAATGCATGTGGTCGTCAGTTAAATTCTCGTGTAGCGAGACTAGAATTTGCAGTATGGTAGAAAGATTTTGCAGCATCAGGCTCCAGACGTATGGTTTGCAGTTACTTCTGTAATTACAATTTACTTAGCATTTTTTAAGTTTCAGTATCATGGTAACAGTCGAGTGAAGAAGTTACTGCTATAACTGACTTTACCAGTGTATTTATTGAACTGTCGGGTAATACAGTTTGATGGAATTTTACACTGATTTTAGATATAATAATACATATTCAGGGATGTGATGCCCATTTGTCAACAAGGGGCTCACGCCAGCAAACTCTATTTTGTTTTCGGTTTTGGCAAAAATATGTGTCACAGATACACCGCTGCGACAATTAAACGTGGCCCAACGTCACGGTTTGCACTAACGACTTATATTAAGCAGGTCCCGAATTCCATTCTCTGCCTGGCGCTCGGCTACCCCCACACGTAAAATGTTTGTGGTTTCCTTAGTCACTCCAGAAAATTGTTGGTGTCTTACAACAGCCCATTAATTCATGAAGGCAAGGAGAAAGTTACGCGTAATTTGTAGCTTCTAATTATTTAAGCTCTTCGCCTATTGTGTTATCCTCCAGTTCTTATCTTTTTTCTTGTAATCCATTTGTCAAGTAAATGCTATGCATCTGTCTTACACCTTCGTCTTAAAGCTGTTTTCCAGTTTGCAGACTATTACTCCTTATAATCACACATCTTTTGTTTATTTTGATGTAAACAATACAGTTTATTTTTAATTATCAAACTACATTCGTAATTCTAGAGGTGTGGAGCGTGTGTGAAAGACGAATCCATAAATATGTTTTTATATAATCTTCCATTGTAAAGAAAGAGACTATGAAAAAGACAGTTAATGGGGAAGGTTGATTGAAAAAAGTGGGGTGAGGAATGCGCTCTAGAATTTAGAATTGATGACATCAGGCTGGAACGAATAATGATGATAATAATAATTTATTTACATTCCATGGATTTATGAGACAGTCAGATGACAATAGGATGTGGAAAAAGTCATAATAATAAAAATATAATGCATATTATAAAGTACAAGAACGAACGAACGTGTACGAGCAAATGCTTTAAGTTGCATAATTAAGATCCAGTTACAAGTGATTCTCACCCTGCTTGCAACAGCAGAATTTAATTAATCGCTTTCATATTAAAGAAATTGCTTATGTTATAAGCTTCTGAGCCATGTCAAATGCTCCGGTCTGGTTAGTAGTGTGCCGTCTCACCTCTGATATTGGAGGAATATAAAAGAAATGCTCTAAATGTTTGTTGTTATCAAAAACGTTGCTGTTGATTCAGCATGTTAAGATAGAGAATTAAATATAAAATGACAGTATTGTGGTGTGATTGTACCGCACGACCTGACTTACAAACCAGAATTCGCCAGGGCCTGTTAATCCAAGGCATCCCCGTCTGTAGTAGTTCCCAATAAATGGACCTAATTTGTTTCAGGTAAATCGTTTTGATTAAACAAAATATCAGCTGATTGAAAAACTCTGCACAAACCAGTGATTATAAAAGATTAGTTTTTGTATAACAGTGCTGTTTTGATCTCAGGGAAACTGCTGGCGGAAAGTGCGTGCTCAGAAGGGTGTCGCGGTCCCTAGAGGGCGCCGTGGTCACACAGCCCTCGTACACCAAGGTGCTATGCTGATGTATGGTGGTTATCAGGACCTCCGTGGCTCTTCCAATGAACTCTGGGGCTTCCACTTCGGTAAGTGAACGAATGACGTCTGGGAAATTGTGTTAATTTCGTTTTTTAACTGCAGTCAGAAATCATATGAGAAATGCATATAGAATTTATTAGTAAAATCTGAATGGGAGACGTAGACATAGGTGGGAACATAACATTTACAAAGATCTTAATGAAATAGATTTTAGGCTGGTATTGTGTTTCATTTGACTGTGTGGAATGGATGTAATGAGATGCATAATTTTTATTTATGCATTATTTTCATACATTCATGAATTACCGTGTTGTTGAAGTGCTTCAAAACTCATCTATACAATATGCTGGTTTTGGGACAGTGGTCTTCGAACATTATTTGACAAATGTATGTATGTGTACAGAATGCATGTGACGTGCTGTGAACTTTAGTATGATTCTTGAATTGTTTATACAGAAGTACAAGAGCAAGCAATCATTATAAACCTGCCTCAAACTTAATTTCAACCTCTGGTAAGTGCAGTGAGTCTCCTAGACAGTGCATCTGTGAAGCGAACTAATGCACCGTGGGTCAGCCAAACCTCACACGAAGAGCATCTGGTTCTTCCACCTCAGTGCCCACTCACAGAAAAATAACTCATTGTATTAACATTTAATTTTCAGTTGTGAACAAATATTTTGCAATTTTATCTCTATAATAAAAATATAAGTATTTATAAGGAATGCTATGGGAATGTTCACAGATACAGAGTCATGGCACCTGCTGTCATCATCCAGTAGTGGCATTACATGCGGAAGACCTTCCGGCACTGGCGGCAGCCACGGCGATCTGCCACCAGCCCGCCACAAGCACTCGGCCATATTACACGACGATGCCATGTGGGTGTATGGCGGAATGACTGACCTGCAAGAGAGGGCCGACTTCTGGCGGTGGGACACTGGTGAGATGAACACTAACACTCTAAAACTCTATGCATTCTTAACTTCTTTCACACTAGTTAATAGGGAAATGGTCAGTTTAATGCCTCAATATACTTTTGCCAAAAAAGTATCCTGTTAGTCTTGTAGGAAACCAGAGGATCCCAGAACAATTTTGAACATGTATAGGCCTATATCCTTGCTGTATTGTCCATTTTCTTTCACTTATTGCCTTGACTGTATCTTATCATTCAGTTGACATCTGGAACTGTGGAAAGATTTAATAAACTTCTGATTACATAAAACTACTAATCAGGTTGGAATGAAGGTAAGAAGATTCTGGGTTAATTTTTAGGAGATACCTAGCTTGAATTTCAATAAGGCTGCTTCCTATGCTGACTGAGGTGGTTTTTCTCAGTCTCCGTGATAGTACCTTGAAAATAGATCAAACCCTCCTCTAATCATATTTGTATGTATTAATCATTACTAATTACCTTCTCATGTAATTCATCACTATGTAAGTTATGCCATTAAATGATTAACTATCATTAAATAACATAATAATAAACAAATAAGTAGTTTATAACATAATTTTGTCACTAGTAGTTTGAGAGAAGCTTAGATTAGTTAAAAGAAGAACTTTAACTGCTATGAATTTTCTGTAGTTGCTAAGTTGTGGAGCTGCATCAAAGCTAAACCAGGTCCAGGAGCTCTGCACAGTCATGCAGCCTGCAAACTGCCAAGTTCCATGCTGATGTTTGGAGGTGAGAGAGATGGACATCCTACCAATGAGCTCTGGAGATTTCACTTTGGTATGTGAGAGCTAGAAAAAATCTTCCTGTATTCCTGTTCTACACTGTTTATGTGGGTGTGTAATGTGGCCCCTCAGCCTGAGAGAAAATTATAGATTGACAATCTTTTAGAAATTACACGGCTCATTTATGCATTGGAATTTAATGAATGTGTGGTATAGTATAGAATTTAACAATCTTTGGTGGGAATGTATTTTCTTCTTAAGATGGCTGTCTTCTGGATTGTAGTTTAAGAACGTTTCAGAGGTCCTTGCTGCCTTTATTATCAGGGCAATGAGCCTCACGTTGGTAAACTTCTACGAGACTACATGGTGCTACAACCCAGAAGACAGCCATCTTTGGACTCACTGCCATGAAAACCTCAAATCGTACTTATTTTGTTCTTGTCAGGTGGTAAGTGAAAACTGTAGGAGGTATGTCAAAAAGAGATCATATGGTTTTTAAATGCTCGGTTTCCTTTTACCTTTATCAAACTTGTGTCACCTCTTACATGTGATCTAGCTGGCTGTGCATTGCACTAGCATGCCACAGAATCATGGAACTCGTAGTTGAAGTGTGTCTGGCAGCCTCTTAGTATAGGGATTTAAGTCCCTTATTCTCATATGATAAAGGTTTATCTTTTTATCTCTCTTCTGTTTCATATTTGAATATTTGATTTCCATTTCTGTGTAAACAGTCACTTGTCCATTATAAAGATCAGTCAGTTATTGAGGTTTAGAAAATAATCATTATTTATTCTGAGAACCAAAGTAAATTAATGCAGATACTGTGGAAGTGTAATGTTTCATTACTGAACATTAAATCAGACGATACATTTTTAAAGTATGTTTTAAAACTTAATGCAACATTGGATTAATATTCACAGGTACCGAGACATGGGAGCGGCTGCAGATTCAGGGTCCAAGACCTCAGCCACGGGCAGAGAGTGTGGCACTTGCTGTGTCAGAGCTGCTCCTACAAGATTCCTTCTTCTTCCAGAATCAGTTTGGTGACACAGCATTGGTCACATCCAGTGGAATCTCTTCAGCGTCTTCCTATGGTGTCCGCAGTCACCGTTCCAGAGGAGGGGGATCAGTGGATCGCTGCACAAATCTCAACCCCCGACACTCGTCTTACCACCCAAATAACCGAGTCTCACCATGTGAAAGGAAGTATGTGTTCAGACCGACCTGTGGCAATTATGTGGATGGGAGCTCCACAAATGGCAACAGCATAAGTCAGGAACAGGACTATGGAGCTAGACGATGTTACAGTGGTCAGCAAAGTAGTGTGGGAGCTTCCACACCATCAGGACAAGCACAAGCAGCTAACAGTTTTTTCCGTGAGATATCCAAGCTGTCTCAAATCAACTTGTCCAGGCTTACACACCACAAGTGTAGTTACAGTGTTTTGAGTAGTAGCAGTTATGATGACAGTACAGAGAGTCTGTTGCACCATCAGTGCTCTGGGAGTGAGGGTGGAGATCAAGGAACCCCAAGTAAAAGCACAATGGTCAAGTCTCAAAGTGCCAATATCATATCCAGGAGGAGACAACAAGAACTTTCTTCTGTAACTTCTCCTGGTCCCACAGATGAATTCCAAGAATCTGAGAGTGCAGTGGTTGCACCCATTAAGCATCATAGTGGATGTTCTAAAGGTCTTCCAAGTGTGAGAAGAAAAGTATCTGCTATGCCGGCAGGTGATAGAAAATGTAGACCTATGCCAAGAGATCCTATTTCAGTACCTAACTTTGGAGCCATCTCATCTCTCCCCACTCCTGTCCTTACTCCAATAGAAGTGACGCAGCTCGTGTTTGTGGATACAGACGATGAAAATGAGACTGAAGATGTGTTTGCATCTCAGGGTTCTCCTCATTTTAGTGAAGGTCATATAATACATGTGCAACCCTTGCCATCATCCAATGTAAATTTGAGAGATTTTGCAGTACTCCATCAGCAGTTCCAGCCACATTTAGAAGACAATTCACAGAGGCAGAGTAGCAGTCATGGTTCACACCTGTTAGCTACAAGAGATACAACTGTATCTGCTCCTCTTTATCAGAATGTTGGGAAGACAAGTGGAATACCTAAATCAGCATCAGTCAGGTTCCGTGAAGGGCAGTTTGTTACCGAATTGGAAGAGATGTCTGATGAAACAGTCTCAACTTCAGACTATGCCAGCATTGAAACAGTGAACCGTATTGCATCTGCCAGCAGTTACATCATGTGCAATAAAGCAAGTCCTGTTGATAACCAGTTTCTGCCATACCAGCAAAATGCAGAGCATGGGATGGGAAAATTTGGTGGGAAAAGTAATGGGAAAGCAAAGACACCTAACAGAGATGGTCCATTTGGATTTTGTAATCCAAACTACCTTGGTCCTGATATACAGACAATTCTTGCATCAGCAGGTCAGAGGAAATCATGGCATGTTACAACTCCTACATCAAATGATAATGACAGCAGTGATCCACCAAACAAACACCACTTTCAGACTTATGCTCGACTCCTGAACAGTCCACCAGACAGTGTGCTAGAGGATGCAAGTGGACGCAGCATAAGCAGACAGTTCTACCAGGAAGAACTCATGGAACTTCAAAGCTTAGATTATTCTTGTTCACAGTCCCCATCTCAGGCCACAACACCAGGAGGTCAGACTCCAAATGTAAGTATCTGCATGGAACGAGCACCACCTCAGTTCCTTGCACTCAGCTCACCATACAGTACAAACTCAATGGGTGTCGAGAAGAGGAAGAAGTCTCGAGCCAGCAGTGCAAGTCGGGCGGAAAAACAGATGTTTGGACATGGCCAGGAACACGAGAATGTGGAGGACATCAGCTGTTTTGGCACAGAACCTTCCGTTCCTCTGTACATGTTTGTGCTAGGAGGTAAGGAACAGGGTCAGGTGACTGTGTTCAAAAGACCAGTGTCAGTGTGGAAACTTCAGCTTGCACCCAACATTTTCTGAAAGAAACATCCATCACTCTGCATCTGCTTGGCTTGGATATTCTGTCCTTGCAGATGTGCCAAAATACAGGCACCAGAAGAACACACTTACGTCAAAAGTGCTGAATTATTATAACTAAAATTGCTTTAATTTTTAATAACAATACAGATGACCAATATAAAACATCTCACATGTCTTATGTGCAATAATTTCAGGCATAAATAATCATTGATATCCTATCAGGAAAGACTGAAGGCAGAATTTTATTGTTTGAGAATTTACCACATTACACAGAATTTATCAGCAGAATGAGGAATGTACCATCTACTTGCTAATGGTGTTTATATTATTGAAAATGGTGGTACCAAGACTGTTACAAATTTTCAATGCTGGAAAGTGCTTCAGTTCACACTGAAGTTTATTCAAATTAATTGATTTTATCTACAAAGAAGCAGCAGGAAGAGTTCCAGATCCATAACTTCTTGGCTCATGCACGAACATTCTGCAAAGTGTGAAGCAACATTTTTATGGTATGGAAGAAAAGAGCTTTTGAAGAAAAAAAGTTTTTCATCTGGGTCACCTTTGTATATATGGTGAAATAGTTTATTTTGGTAACTTTGAGTTTATAGATAAAAGCATATTAAGAACATTGTTTTATTTAAGGATGACTGGAGAATAACAGTTTTTTCTTTATTCACTAAAATCCTCTTCATTGAAATTCTGTTATTTTGTCTTTATCATGTAGTAATAGGGTATTTAACCCCTGCACTATTGGACCACTACCTAGGCTTTAAATGTTGAGTTAACAGTTTAGTGGTGTGCCAGTTTGATCACGTATAAACTGTAACTTATGGGTGACGAAAGTTGAAAGGCACAAAAGCCCCATTAGACAATTATAAATATGCGTTATCTGCCGTATTACGACTTCATTCTGAAGGTGTCTGTCGAGTATAAATTTTGTAACACTTTTAAGCCAGTTATCCTTTTCAGGAATCAGAGACTGTCATGATATTGAGAGTTTATAGAAACTGTCCAGTGACATCTAGTCTGTATGAGATTTGATCAAAAGCCAGTGTATCAGTACATCACATAAAGTTTGAAATATCTGCAACCATGCACGTTATATAACACAAATCAAAAACCGCACTATCCGCTATCGTAATCTTTATTGGCTATGTGCCGTGGCTTTTGAGCACATCTCAGCTGACAATGCCCCACTAAACTATTAAACTCTGAAGTTCAAGTCTGGCCAGCAGCCTCACAGTACGAGAGTTTAACTCCCATATTTCCATACATTAAATATTAAAAACTGTTCCTCTTTAATTTTATTCTTATGCTCTATGTTCATTACATGCTGACTTCTGTGACTAATCAAGTAGTACATGAGAAACATTAAACATCAAAAATTGGCTTGTTTCCACTTAAATATGATACAGTGTTGTATACCAAGAAACCCGTTATTGAACACGTAGGAAGAGTGACAATTTACAATTTTTTATATATATAGTAGTTATAAATGCACATTAAAATGATGCTGAAGAATTGAACTTGAATGTCTTTGTTATCAAGATAATACAACATTCTAAGTGTTTATGGAAACTTTCCAGTAATTACTGCAATATGGAATACAAGTGTTTCCTTGGTTCTCTGGCTGCTTATCAAGCTATACCTACATGGTGAGCATTAGAAAAGTTTTGGAAATGATGATTAAATGCTGTTTATTGAAGATAGTAGTAACTCAGCAGCAAACTTGTCATTATACCAAGCTCACCTGTGGTATAATTCATAGTATTTTATTTGTTTCTTATGATTCCATTGTGACTCTTACATGTATAAAGTGGTGAATTATTATCATTTAATACCACAGAGAACCTGACTGATTTTTAATATTTCTTTCAAATTAGCTCTGAAAATGGTGTAGTCTTATCATATATTGGTGCTTGATGAGTAATTAAACATGATGACATCAATTTTACCTCAAAATAGCCTTAGAAAATATGTCACAAGATAAAAGTAATGAAAATGGCTTTTCATTCAACAATGTTTTAGTCGTGTACTTGTACGTAATACAATTTACAAGGAGCAGGGCTTTAGATTTGTGTCAAGCTTTTTGACGCCCTGACATGATTGGAACAGCATACTGCCACACTGCCAATACATAGACTTATCAATATCAGGATTGAACTGCGCTATGACGTGATGAGATCCTCATCCACTGAAGGAAGAGGGTGTCTTGATACTGTGGTTATGTCTGCTGCATTTGGTTCAGCATAGAATCTCCACAGACTTGCTTTTAGGTGTTGAAGATTGAAACTATTTTTCAATAAAATAGAAAATAGGTTTTAAGTGCAATAGTCGTCCATTTTTATTATTGAATTTTTCCAACAAAGCACACCATGGATAAGTCAGGAAATATTTGCTGCATAAGAATTAATCTAGGTATAGGGGATTAGTTGTAGTGTGTGTGCTAATCAAAAAGAATGTACCTGGGCTTCCCTGCAATTTAGGGGCCTCAAGTAATGCTCAGTTAACATAGAAAGTTTTCACTTAAATATTTCTGCCATTATATTCTGAATTTTTATATTCATTCTTAAGGGTGTTTGCTTTCTTTGGCTAGTTCAGAATAAATTTTAAACTCACTTATACAAAATTATACTGCATCAAATGTAAATGAAGCCTAAAATTAGCTCATTTTTAAGCAAGTTATTAATAAAACTGCCTATTTAAGGTTTATAATACAAATCAAATTTGTCCTAGTCATTTAGATAAAGTCATAATAGCAGGTCATGTGTAACAAGTTTTAACATAAAAATAAAAATTCTGGTGCATTGGCAATAATTTAACCTTTGAAACTGGTGAAAGGTAAATTGTTGGGGAATTCCTCAGCTGGAGACTCATTATGGTACTCACTGCTACATGTAGATGCCCATTATTGTGTGTGATTTCAATCATATTTCTAATACTTCGAAAAATTGTAGTAGATCTCTCCAATATGAAATTTTGTTAAATCCATTTAGCCATTCTTGAGTTACATTCAAACAGCCATGACAAAGCCAAAAGGGACTATTTTCCAACTTAAATTTGCAAATGTGCCAAAAAATGGCTTCTAGATGTAAGGCTTTGCTGGATTTAGGAGTGTTGACATATTGTATTGCACTGCTAATTGCATTTGGCATACTTTATCACTGAACAAAGTATTGCATTCATATGTAATCTGATTTGAAGTTTCAAGCCATTCTGTATCAGTTTGTGTGAGTGATGGATATTCCTTCATATATTCCTTAGTGTAATTTTACTGGAAAAAATGTGTGTATTAAAAGCTACCTATGATTTTTATGTAGAGAAAAAAGTGGCTGTACTTTGACTTTATGGCTAAAAATGTTAATTTGTTTTCATGATCTCTTTTATATTTTGAAGGCAAGGTGCCACTACTGCGTAATGATTTGTATAACAATAAAAGAGGATAAAATATTACTCATATTTATATATGTTGTCTGTGTTTAAAATTATTATATTTGCTTAACCTCGAAGGTTTATTTTAATGGGATTAAACCTAAGGAAAGAAGGTTCAGTATTTCAATTAAAATATTTATTTATTTTGAGTAATGACGAATGTTATATTATTTATACTTTTTATTTGGCAGTGGCTAAATGTTTATATAGTCATTATGCAAAAATATATATTTAGATTCTAGTCAGCAATCTGTCTTGGCTGTGGATTATACTTTCATGCTTGGGGCCCTCAAATATTAAGGCAAGTTATGGTGACTTTAATACGCAAAGTAAATTAACTAAAGTATACATACAACTGTTACTGAAAAGAAATCTGCAGTCTGAAGTTATGATAAGCAGAAATTTGATGCAATGTGGGTTGTGGTCTGTTAATATTATAAGTAAATATAAAGTTGTGTAATTAACTTTTGCTGTGTGATAAGTATGTATTCTTAAGGTCAAAGGAGAAAAAGAAACAACTCACTTTCAAGAGCCTATAGCATGTAGTAATAAATTATTGGAAATGTCTGCATATTGTACACTTGTGTATTGTCAAAAAAGGAAACAGGCATATACCCATTCATGTATGGCTGGCAGGCCATTATGTTGCATGTTGGGGTGAACTTGAGTGTTTACAATTTTTTATTCTGAGATGAAAATATAGAAACTAATGCTAACATATTCTGAGTAAAGTATTTGTACCAGTGCCCTTTAGAATGTTGAAAGCATTAATTCTTAAATCTGATGCTTATTCTTTACTCTTTACTGCGTACTTCATTCAGCAACCAAGGAGACTAAAGAAGTGAAGTGAAGGAGAATCATAATTCTGTGTCATATGTCTTTGAATTCATCCTCTTAAAGAAAGGATGAAGTGAATTTTTTCTTATTTCTCTTAAGACTGCTTTTAAATTGTTTATAACATTCTATCTAAATATTTGGCAGTGTTTTATTATAAATTATTCTGGTTTTTGGAAATAGCTCTCAGAAATTCCACATTGTTTATTACTGCAGCTGTCTACAATATTTTTTGGACTGTAAGACTCACACATTCTGATTTTAGAGGGAAAATTCTGTGAATGAATCATGCTATCTCTTCAAAATGTAAGATGCATGCAGATTTTATGCAGCTTTGTTGAGGAAGAAAAGTGTTTATATTCTTAAATTATGGTAAAATAATTGTTTAAATCTTGGCATTCTTACATCTCATGATCTGTAATGGTACACATAAAAAGGCCACACAAATAATTACATTCCACATTATGTTGGTGAGCTGTGTTAGAGCTCTTGCAAGATTTTAACTTCTATTGGCCATGCATTGTGGCTGATGTACAGTTTATCTTGCTGTGTGTCACAGTAAAATTGTTATTATAGTTATGATGGCATGAGACTATGTCTCTAAAAATATGGATGCTAACAGGCCAATTTTCCATTCCTCAGATGACGCACGAACAGATATGGGGGTTTGGTGGAATTATATTGATATGAAACACTGAGGAACTTTGTCCACCATAAATCCCACATAAACTGTCCTGGAAGTGAACCCAGTCCTCCTGCATTGTGAGAAGCTGGCAAATAACTGCCTGTTGCAGAAGTTTAAAATCCAGCTGGCAGCACCATAGAACTGGAATTGAAATTCCTAATTATGATGTGATAAAGGTTAAAGTGTAACTTGTGATGTAATGTTTCTTTTATTTGTCTGTTTTGGACTTACATAAGAAAAGTAAAATTGTAGATGCATGGTGTCTGCACTTTTGAATCTCTGTTGTGACTTCCAGAAGCACTTGTTATCCTTTGCACTAGGAAACTGAATGTAAAGAATACATTATTTGGAATAATGTGACAGTTCCTTCTGGGCGTCCCTCTTACATACTTCATAGTAATGCAGGTTTTTCCACCACACTATCTATAATAAAGGTTTGCCAGGATGTTTCATGGGTCTTCAGTAATGTCAGGTGAATGCATTCAAAAAAACCTGACTGCCTGCTCTCCCACTTATACTGATATTTTTCATTTGAAATTACACAGTAAAATTTGTGAGTCAGAGGCAGTTCCTTTCTTTGTCAGAAACTTGGCACCCCGATTTCTACATAGTCCAGACATTATCATTTAATCCTGTTTAAAGTTGGAAGATTTTTTAATTCTTTTTGTTTCCTGTTTAAATGCAATAGTATAAACTTCTCATATACATGAAAGCATAAATATCAAATATAAAAACTGTAGGATGATGTCTTAAATTAGTTTCTCTTTTTAAGGCTCTCAATGTGAAGGGATTATGATTGGTCGTTTAGTGATGCTGAAATGAGTGACTAAATGCAAATGTGTTACTGTTACAGAAAGTGGCAGAAACTTGTTCCACAAACACATTGAGAAAGAGTCTTACGGAACCATCTGCTTTGTAATTCCATTTTGCTAACCTGTTACAGGTTGTGTGAGCTCAACGTATATGTTTATGGTATAATCTGTGTAATCAGTGAAGCATGTTTCATGGCATACATAACTTTTGTGTATTTAATAATGGTAAACAATCCAAATGGCAGCTAGAAAAAAAGAAAACTGTTTGTAACTCTGTCATTGAGTTTTGTATCACACAGAATCATTTTCCATGGGTATCCACTTGTCAACTTAAAATAATTAAATAAAAGAATGTCATTGCTGCAGAATTTATGGCAGTAATGTAACAGCCTTGTTCCTCAGTTCTTAGTTGCCCATTGGAGGTAGAGCAATTCCGAGAGCTTCCCCAAACAGCAAAGTGAATCCAGATAGTTGTACTCCTAGGGCTCTCCCCTCCATATACCCCCCCCCCCCCCCCTCCCTCCCTCC